CGTTGGGAAGGGGGGAGCGGTTGAAAAAACGCAGCAACGTCGCGTCAAACTAATGACGCTGGTACACTCACGCCCCGATAACGCCGGAGGGGGGCGGTGTTTCACGCCCCCGGGGCGTTAAACGCCCCTTAACGCCGGCAGGCGTGATGAGTATACCCACTGCTCTTATTGTTTAATTTCAATAATAATATATCTCGCATCATTTTTAGAGTATATGATGATTTAATTTCAATTCATGCTATATTTTTTTTAGAGTATATGTAGGTTTATGGATTCTCTTTTAATATATATGTTACATGTATACATTAATTCTCAAAGTTTCTATTTCTAAAAATTTCAAACTTACGTATGTAAGCATTTCATTTTTTATAAACAATAATACCTAGAAAGCGTAATTTCAAGATATTTTTCTTATTGATTGAACATAGTGACCAAATTAGTATATTTTTTGTGACTTTGATGCATTTAATCTTACAAATTGATAACTCTATTTTTTAAAATAAAATCAAATGTTCGGAAATAGTTTTGAAAAAAGAGGTACCAATTATGATATTGACGAATAGATATTGACCTAACATCTGGATTATGTTATGGGATAAGAGTAATCGTTGAAGAGCTGCGAAAAAATGTTATCAGTGCAATCATGGTTTAAAAAAATCATGTTGGGAAAAAGATTTGGATAAAGCTATTTGTACCCCAAGTTTTTGTACACCACTTTGTACCCCGCAGGTTTGCACCAACACAAAGTGTTGGTGCAAAACTAATTTTTGTTAATGCACCAATGCTTTGTGTCCGTGTAAATTTTTGTTAACGCACCAACACTTGTGTCGGTGTAAATCATTAAAATGTTTGTGTATAACTACGATGTACAAATGGGGTACAATTTGTGGTGTAAGTGTAGCATGATTGAAAAGATTTACATCCATAGAATGAATTTCGTACCATCTTTCCGAGAATTACCCCTGACTCCTAGAGAAGACAATTTCCGATCGTCTTATGTTTGGCTATGACTATTAACAAAAGTCAAGTTCAAACATTAACATTTGTGAGATTATTTTTAACAAATTAGTGTTTACACATGGTCAACTTTATGTTTCTGTTTCATGAGTGAACACAAAGACACGACCTAAAGTCTAAAAGTAATAATTTAAGATGATAATGAAAATCCTTGCAACTATAACAAAAATTTGGTATACCATGGATAAAAGTAATTTTAGAAAATTTAGTACTAAAACAAATTTTGATGAGTCTACGTTCAATTCCTCAAATGATATTTATTCTTCTTTGGCATTTTTTGTATATACTATTACAAAACATGCGAGAGATACATTTTATTTATTGCGGTGAAAAATTGCATTAAAAAATATTTTTTGAATCGACAAAAAATTTATTCGACCCCGTGTGTGGCACGGGTTAAACACTAGTTACCTAATAAATATTCAAACACAATTTTTTAACCTATTACCTTACTTTACCTACCTTTAATTACCTATCTTCAATTACCTACGTAATAAAACTTTACCTCCCTCAATCCAAACATAGCCTTAGGGTATGAAGAGGACGACTCTCTTATACGAAGAACAAATTTTTTTTGTGAACTTGCAGAGTTGTATTTTTTCCTCTATCCTAGTCACAGTGTTTTTTGTTTTTCTTTGAATTGATGGAACTTGTAGGGTTGTACTTTTTTTCAACCCGAGCAGCTATGTTTTTTTGAAGGCGTGTGCTTTTTATTTTTGCTTCCCGTTTTAGTTTTATTTTTTTAGTAACTTGCAAAGTTGCGATTCTTTTTTGAATTTAGTTTTTTTCAACTTTAAATTTATTTTGTAAAGCTAATAATTTTGTGAACTTATCTATGCTTTAGTATGTTTTGTAATGATATGCCTTTCAAGTTTCAATTTTTGTAAGCGCTATATCTTTTTATATTGATTGAATCTTGTTAACGCTCAACTACTCACACATAATTCCCTTAAAATAAACATTTCACACATAAATGATTATAGTCTTTAAATACAATTAAATACTTATTAGTAATCTCAAAAATGATATGAGTATTACAAGTAAGTGGTTAATGTGAAATATTCTGGACTACATATACATTTCTAAAAAAGTGAAAAGTTAATTGTAAAAATTTCCAGGATATTTACAATTAAAATATTATGTTAGCACAATTTCTAACACTTTTAGTATGACATCAAATACGATTTGCACGAAATATACAAAAATTTTTAATTTTGTAATGTGCTCCGTAATATAAATATTTTTCAATGATTGTTTATTGTTAACAATTTTCTTCTTTTACGTCTTCAATATATTACTCAATTAATTTGTTTGTTTGTAATACACATAAATCTAGAATAAGAGTTATTGAGTATTTTATATATTTATAAATTAATCAGTAGCTATATATATGATTATCAATATGTTATAAAATAATAAAGTTATTATCATTGAATGATCAGATTAGATCCATTCCGACCGGGTCCAATCAATATAGACCTCATCAGGTCAGGTCTAGTCAAACCAGATCAAAATTCCGTAGATATGATCAGACCTAAGTAAATCAGACAAAAAATTAGATCAGAATCTCCCGTCAAGTACAAATAATATAGTACGCTGCTTAAACCCCAGAGTGGTTAAATGCAGAAACCCTTGCCAAGTGGGGTGACAAGAAATTGATCTATTTATAAATCAGAATAAATCAGAGATTCTGAAAAAAGAGTGGGCTTGGTTTGATCACAGGGTAAAGGAGAGGCAGCTCGTAAAGCTATGGAGAGGCCGCACTTGAAGAAGGAGAAAGACTACTCGCTGTTTAGCGAGCTGTTCACACATCATATAGAGTCGTTCGACTACATGATTGACCAAGGCCTTGAGACCATGCTTATGGCCATCAAGCCAGTTGAGGTATCCCATCAAGCCTCCGGCAGCAAGCTTAGAAATATCCTCTTTTGCATTCTGTCATTCATTGTTCTCTATACAAAATTTTATTTTGATGATGATTCAACTGGATTGAATGTTTAAAAATGTGTTTTTTCTTTGCCGGTTTTTGTGCTATTAACAATGTGCTGGTAGTTCAGGTCCATCAGTCCTTCAATTTTTATTCTCTTATAGTGAGTAGTTGCTTTAAGATTCTGCTTGTTTGGAAGTGTGGTTCTTAACTTAAAGCGTACTGTGGTTTGGGAAACCTGAATTATTCCCCCCTGAAAAGGAGCGTGGTTACAAGGGCCTTAATGATCCTCTGTATCCTTTTGAGGCAAGTATCTGCATCTACTTGTGATGTTAATTCATGTTTTCTCATAATGCATTGAGATTCTGAATTGATTGGTGTTATTGAAACAGTGTAGGCAAGCTAAACTTTCATATACAGGAAAGTTTGTTGTGGATATCTGCCTTCAATTTGACGATGGAGCTGTTGTAAGAGAGAAATTTAATCTAGGGCAGTTTCCTATTATGCTGAAGGTTTGTATCTTGTTCTCAAGCTTCCCCCCCTTCTAAGCTTCATAAAGAGAAACAGTTGATATACACCATAATTACCAATTCTTCACTTTGTAGTAACACGTTTCCAGTACAGTTATCTGGATCAGTTGGTTCAATCTCCTTATTCAAATGTAGAATTTCTAAGCGGAGGCTTATATAATTGATTCGTACTAGAATATATATGATATATGGGGAAAATTTCAGAGTAGTTCTCAAACTAATAATTCTAAAGAGAGTGAGCAGATTTATTGTCCCATGGTCCATTGCTATTCGCTTCTCCTTTTGCTCTTTTGGATATGTTTGGAAAAACGTTATTGTGGCACATACATACATTGCCATCTGTGTTTAATCGTACTTGTTAGCTGACTTCCTATTGAAAAACTGCACACATTTATGTATTTTTATTTCGTGTAGTCAAAATTATGCCGCTTGAGAACGGCTGACAACTCCCAAAAATTAGTACGTCTCAAGGAAGAGCCATCAGAAATGGGCGGGTAAGACAATTTAATGCACTCATTGGTGCACCTTCTCCAGTATTTGCATTTTTGTGTGCTGATGTGAATTATAAAGTATAACATTGAACAGTGGCTCAAATTGTTTCTTACTTATAAAAGTTGCTAACTTTTTTGTTTAGATACTTCATTTTGAATGGTCTTGAACGTGTAGTCCGACTTCTAATATTGCCAAAACGAAACTATGTAAGTGTATTTTTATTCGTTGTGTGTATATTTTAGTCCAAAATGTTTGGAACTTATCAAATGTGACATGTGCTATCTAATTATTGGCATTTTTCTCTGGTGATGTTGATCTGGTTTGTGCATCATTTTCCAGCCAATGAGCTTGGTGAGAAATTCATTTCGTGATAAGCGAGAAGGGTATACTGATAAAGCTGTTGTGATAAGGTTATCACTTCTACTTTCTTTTCTTCATTTGATTTCTTTTTTCTACTAGAAGAAACACATGTAAAGTCAGTTCACATGTTCAGTTTCAACTGAGTTGAGTAAGCATATTGTTGTATCTATTGCTTGAGAAAACTTTTTATATAAAGAGCTGGGATAAAAAAATATGCTTCTTTTTGAATGCCTTCTTATTCTTGGGAATGAGGGAAGTCTCGGGAATTGATACCTATATTTGGGATCAAACATTGATGAGTAAAGAGAATATGTGGAATTTCAAGTTTAAAAAGGAATCTATTACTCAGAGTAGAGTCTTGGAGAGTTGTTGGTTAGAACTCTGACTTTGTTTTATTCTCCAAAACTCTATTCCATCACGAAAATAAAATGCTTAACTGAAGTCTTACAACTCATAAAGAAACTTACAAAGTATGTAAAAAGAACCACTCAAAGTAATTTTAGGAAACTAAGGGAGCATTTGGCTTGGATTAATTGAAAAGTTGATTCTGGATTTAGAATGAGGTGTATTTGAATGAGGCCAATATTTGGTTTCTAGAATATAAAATGATATTAGTTGTGTAATTGGTTGGTGATTCAAAAACTAGATTAGTTGTGTATTTGGTGCAAGCTTTGGAGTTGTTGCGATGGTGGCGCTGAAGGTTTCCATTGTATTGTCCAATTTCTGGACAAATGATTACCATAGTTTGTAAGGCGGCAAGGCGAGGCAAGGCACCAATGTACCTTAATATCGCCTAGGCGACATACATACATCATACATACATACCTACACACATATAGGTCTTATACATTTTAAGGAAGCTTGATCGAGACGGAGAAGACCGAGAGAGAAGATAAGTTTAAGTCTATTAGGCTACACTAAAAGAAAATGGGCTGCACTAAAAAATGGGTTTTTTCAAAATTTTAAAGGGGCCCAAGGCATCAAGGCGAGGTAAGGTAGGAAAGGCGACGCCTAGGCGAGTGCCTGATCGCCTTAAGGTTTTCTAGGCGAGGCGAACATACAAGGTGTCCCAGTGACAACGCCTTATCGCCTAGGCGACGACTTACAAACTATGATGATTACAAAGACCAAATATCACTCTAAATCAACTTCCAATTGCCCATGAGGACTAAATATAAAACGTAAATGTTATGCTCCCTTGTGTAAGTATGTGTCACATGGCATTGCATTTTGGTGAGAGAGAGATAGATGTTACTCATGTGAGAGAAAGAAGATACAACAAGATAGTAGAGCCTTGGAGAGTTTTGACTTGAACATTTTCTATTTTTATTTAATTTTTTACAAGACTGTACTTCCACAGTTACATAAGTGCAACATCAGGATTTTCACGCTTTCCATAAAGTAATTCTTTAATATCTTCAATTATATTTTGTTAAAAATTATAAAAAGTTGATATTACGAGGGGTATATAAAGTTGAATGTAACAAGATTCCATATGTCTATATTTTCCTAATGTATAAATCACAAAAGATAATGAAATGTGAATGGATAGTTTAAAGCCATCCCCAGTTTCACGTGTTTAAGAAAGGAGGAATTACAATATTTAATCAGAGGCTTACAAGTCATAGTGAAATTATTGGAAACCAACTACGAAAACTAATTTAGATTAACCTAAACTATAAGGTATCTATCACTCAAAATAATAATGGGTTTGTCTCAAAATAATGTTCCATTTTTTTTAAGGAAAGAATTGCATGGCGCATTCCGTGCAATCGCATCTTTCTTAACAAATTGTGTCGATTACAATGTGAAACCTTATTTTGGGATGGAGTATGAAACTAATACTAATACTACTCTAAAGGAAACTAATACTTTTGAAAATTTGTTAATACTGCTATTACTAATAGTAGCAGCAATGGCAGTAATCCTAAGCTAATACTCCCTCGTCCCCAAATTTAAGTCACTTTTCATTTTTGGCTTCCGAGAAATAAAGTGACACTTCACACATTTCCTTTTAAGGAAAAGAATGCAATATTTCTCTCTTCTAAATAAATTCTAACCATGTTTTTTTACTCTTCAACACTTTTCTTAAACTCTGTGAACCCAAAGAGTGACTTTAATGTAGTGGTGGAGAGAGTATTATACAATTATGAAGACTCCGCTTGTTAGGCTATTTGAGCCTGTCTATGAACCTTAGTTTCTTTGAACCCATCCACGAGCCAGTACTAGATTGGTATGTTTGGTTTGGTTATTCATGCAAAATGTTGGGAGTTGCTTTGCACCTACATGTGGGAATACATTGTGTTTGTTGTTGTTGCTCGGAGCTAACTTGAACATCTGATTCTGAATCCTATATTTCGGTCATCCTTATCTTTTTTCTGTGAGTAGCAAAGGATTTTGTGACTTCGAACATTGCAATTCTTACCATTTATCTGCCTCTGATATGATGATAGCTTGGGATATCTACATCATTCCATACCAGTTTAGTGGTGCACTATTGTTCTTGCTAGGAGGAGTGTAGGATATATCATATATGAAAGTAAATGCGGTCCTACATGCTAAATTTCATTCTTTTCTTAAAAGTGTGCTTGATACTTGAAAGGCCTTCTGGGTAAATCTGGAAGGAATCAAGGGCGTGATGGCTTAGATTTGACAGATAATAAGCAATATAGAACTTTAAAGGTGATTATGTTGTTTACAAAGCTTACTCCTCAGTATCCATTATGGGCAATCACTGGTTTTCTAGATTCTCATCTGGAATATTTTGGTTATCTGCTTGAATGCAACATTTTTCATCCGATTACAATTGTTCTCCTTTTGCTTCCAGATGTGTAAGAGAAGATCAATCTGCGGTTTCAATAAGACTGTATTATCTTATTAATGGAAGTGCGAGACTTGGATTCTGGTAAGGCTTCGAGAAAGTAAAAAACTAGATTTTATGCATGATGAATATGGAAACCTTTATCCGTATGTGTCTTTTGTTAGGATACAAGGAAGGGAATATTTGCTTCCTGTTGGTGTCATATTAAAGGTATAAGTTATTGACTATTAATATGCTTTATTATATGTTCTGTATTCCAGAGCTTCATATCTCAGGCTGCTGTACACTTTTAGGTTAGGTTGCATTTTGAGTGGATTTCTCGCGCTTGGGGCTTTAATATTTAGTGTTATTTGATCTGGACTGTAATGCCCATCCGATTGCCTTCCCAGCCCAAAAAAGAGAGAACAAGAAAGCACACGCAGTTACCCCCCCCCCCACACACACACCCCAACCCCATTTTTGTGGTATGGTAGACAGGTTATCTAATTCCAAGGAAACAATAACAGTGCTTCTAAATATTAATCTTTAATACTCCCTCCGTCCGGGAAAAAACTTCTCATTTGGACTTTTCTTCATTTTTTTGAAGGGTTGACTATGGGTGTAATTTCCCTAAAATGCCCTCCCTCTCCCTCCCCTCATGACCAGCCGACAATCACTGTCCCAACCATCGCCGCTAGTACCTCCTTTGCCGCCCGTCACACCAACACTCATTTCTCCTCACCATCGCTGCCACTCAACTGCCAGCAGCCTAACCATCGGCGCAAGCCCCACCTCCACCTCCACCGTGGTGCAGATCTAAAAGAAGATGAAGAAGAAAAAGACGAAGAAATGCAGATCTAGACTCACTGTCACCGTCGGCGTCGTCGTCACCGTTACAATCGCCGCCGCCATGCTCAGATCTAGAAGATGGAAGAGATATAAGAAGGGAGAGAAAAAGAAGGAAAAAAAGAGGGGGAGAAAGAAGAGGAGAAGAGGGGGACTGAGGGAGAAAGAAGAGATGAGATTTACGGGGAAGTGGAAGAGACAAAGAGAAAGAAGAAGAAGAAGAAGAAGAAGAAGAAGAAGAAGAGAAGAAGAAAGAGAAGCAGAAAGAAAGAAAAACGATTGAGAAGAGAGAAAAGGGTGGGGGGACGGGACGGGTAGATCTAGGAAGGAAGTTTGAGAGGGTAAATGAAATTGATTGATAAGGGTATTTTTGGAAGAATTGTGGTTAAAATTAGAAATGGGAAGATTATTTTCGGACGGAGGAAAAGGAGAAATAGGAAGATTATTTCCGGACGGAGGGAGTAATTCTTTTTCTTGAAATGCTTTTCAAAACATGTCCATGAACAAATGCATCCTACCCCACATTGCTACAGTAACCTTAATTATTTACGCTGCGTCTTGCTCAATTTGAGCATGTATCCCTGCACCCCCACTTGAGTCAACCACCTACCCTTCTTTACACCCAACCCACCCCATGCTCCAGAAGTGTCTCCTAATATGCCCAAATTTCACTTTGTGAGACTTTGGCCCCATAGCCAACTTTATCAAACATTCTGTGTCACTTTTGCCAGCCCCCAACTCAGTCTCTATTTACAGATAAAGCAGATGTGCAACCACTTCCATTTTCCCATTTCAAAAGAAAAAAGGCCAATGGTCATCAGAAGTGTAAACAGATACAAATTTTTTCTTCTTATTGGATACTTTCACTTCATCACTTTTGCCAGCCCCCAACTCAGTCTCTATTTACAGATAAAGCAGATGTGCAACCACTTCCATTTTCCCATTTCAAAAGAAAAAAGGCCAATGGTCATCAGAAGTGTAAACAGATACAAATTTTTTCTTCTTATTGGATACTTTCACTTCATCATGATGCATTCGTTACCTCATCTTAATTTTCCTGGCAGGCCCTTGTTTTTTACACTGCATCTTGCTCACCTTGAGCCTGCAGCCCTGTATCCCCTCTTGTGTAACCAACCTGCCCTTCTTTACATCCAACTCACTTCGTGGCCCGAAAGTGTCAACCATGGTTTCACTTTTCTGTGATACCTTGACCCCATATCTCAGCTTAGCAAACTGGCTCTGGTTTGTTTTGCTAGCCCAACTCTCATTAGTCTCTATTTACAGGTTAAGGCCTCATTTGGGAACATTGTTTTCAATTAGCCTAAATGCTTAGGGTTACGAGTATTTTTAACGATGCAGATTAACTTTGAATATGCTAAAGCTAAATGCTGCCATTAGACAACCTTTTTAAAATGCTAAAGCTAAAGGCTGAATTTGTTGCCAAATGGGCACAATTCAGATGTGCAAACACTTCCATTTTACAATTTCATAAGCAAAAGGCTAACTAACAACCTAACAGCCATCAGCTTTATTGTTGGAATTTAAGAAGTGTAAATGGAACTAAAAAAGTTTTTCTAATTGGATACGTGCATATCATCATTTTGAGCTCCTTACCTCATCTTCATTTTCCTGGCAGGCCCTTGTTGACACAACTGATCGTGATATATATGTCAGCTTAACATGTGTTTATAATGAGATTTATGATAAAGCAAAGGGAGCTGTTGGCACCCAGCTTTTTGGAGAAAGGGCAAGCATTATCTTGCATGAAGTTACAAGCCTTTCTCTTTTTACACGTAGACAGTGCCTCCAACATATTGGTACTTGTTCTGACTAGCCACCTTGAGTATAGTAGATACACTGTGAATATTGTCTGAATCAAATCAATTATATTCTGTAGGTGAACATTTTCAACCTGTTATGTCTGGTATGGAAGAGGAAACTTATTCTGCTGTAAGTCACACTTTTTGTTTTGTTTTCTTCGGTTTGAGTTGTTGACATGTGAAGACAATCAAATCCTTACTTATTGTATCTACTAGTTTTCGGAAGACAATCACACAGCCCTTGCTTTTTGTATCTCCTCTTTTTTACAGGTTGCTGAAGCTGTGCTCCGAGACTACATATTTGTCCACTTGGATAACAACCATGATAAGTTTAATTTGCTTATGTTAGTTCCCTTCAAAGACTGCATATCTTTTACAAAGTACTCCCTCCGTCCTAAAACTATCTTCTCAATTTCCTTTTCAGGGCGTCCTAAAACTATCTTCCCGTTTCTAAAAGTAGCAACTTTTTACACACTAAATGATATTAATACCCTCAAATCATTTCCAATCCCAGTCCACCCACATTAACCACATATCTCACCATCCCTCTTCTCAAATTTCTTTCCAGAAACTCTTCTGCCGCCACCACCATCACATCTCTTCATATCTGCACTATCTTCCCTTTCTCCTCTACATTTCCTTTTTTTCTTTCTTCTCTATCCACTCTTTGATTCTCCGAATTGAAGGTCCCCATCTGTATGCGACAAGAGAAGATGACAACAATCATTATCGGAAGCGGATTTAGCAAAATCGAAGGTCGGTCTAGATTGATGTCCGATCAGTGACCAACAAAATCAAAGGCGGGTCTGGGGAGCGAATACAATGATTTGCCGTTGGATTTGACAATTCCAAATGCATGTTTTCCAAACAGTGATTTCAAACCCTTTGATTTTCCATGGTCCGATCAGATCTGTGATTTTGATTTTGTTTTTGATCCAATCCGTTTACTTTTCGATAATGAAGACTGTGAGTCAGTGAAGCAATCATGCTTGGAGGAATATTTTGGGACTCAACTCAATTTTTACGCTCCCTTAAAATCAAGCCCTGGTCAAACCGGGAAATTAGTTTTAGGACGGAGGGAGTATTGTTTTTGGTTTTGGCATGCACTGTTTAACTTGAAGGTGTTGACATCATCCTCTATTTTAGCTTCATGTTGCAGAAGCTTTTTTCTCTAATAGATCAAACATCTGTTCTGGACAACCCAGACTCCTTGCAGAATCAAGAAGTTTTGCTGCCTGGTCACTTGATAACAATATATCTAAAGGTCTAAGATCTTCCCTGGTTTCATTTGAAAAAGTATTACTAGGACTAGGTGAACTTTAATCCAATAAGTATATTAAGGGCTTGTTCTTTTGAGTTGCAAAAATTAACTTCAAACATTTTTCGTCTCCTAGTTTTTTACAACTCCAAATTTTTTGTAGTTTTGTAATGTTTCATAATTATGTTTCTTTCTTGATTGAGGTAACATTAGATTATTTGTATCAATTTTTGTTTAAAAAAATTACTAAAAAATGTTGCTACTTTGTACACTGTTAATGGTACATGGGTTATTGGCATGTAAATTAATAAATAAAATTTGTACTATTGATATTGATTTAATAAGTTAAAGAAAAATATTAATAATAATAATAAGTATGAGACAAAAAAATAATGCTATACATGGTTTGAAACAAAAATAGTTTAACATACGAAAAATAGATAATTACAAAAAATGGAATATAAATTATTCCAATAAAATATAAAATTTCCAAACTATAAAATTTCCAAAAATATAATACTCATTGCATTCTTTCCAAGTTTTTTAATGGTTTCCATTTCCAACATTTTCAATGCTTTCCAGTTTCTTTCAACTTCTTCCCATTTCTTCCAACTCCTTCCAAAATCTTCCAACTCCATTTTTTTCAAATTACTTTGAGTTTCTTCCAACACCTAATTTTTTCCTACTCCTTCGAGTTTCTTCAAACATCCAACTTTGGAACTCCAACCCAAAAGAACAGGCACTAAGCGTTGCTTGATCTTGATTGATATTTTAACTGTGGGATCTGTACATGTATGTATGTTGTATTTGGTTTTTTGATCTTGTAGATTAAGATTAGTAAAACTGTTCCTTTTATCCGTGGAATACCCCTATGGTTATATATTAACTGTAAGAAATGTTTGGACCAAACAGTTCCATTTCCCCCCTTTTAAATTGACCTTTATTATACTTAGTTACATCTCTCTTCAGTAAATGTTTACAAAAGAACATTTCGTAAATCTTCGAAGCATAAAAAACAAAACTTAGTTTATTATTCTACCCAAATTTTCATTCCCGCAATGTCCCAGATCTCTTGCCTTACTCGCCTCCCAATCACCAGTTTTGTGTGTGTGTGTGTGTATATATATATCTCTGTGTGTGTATGTGTATATGTGTGTATGTATGTATGCCCCTCTAAGGCTGGACTTTTCTTTTCCTGTGGTATATTTTTCAGGAGAAGCTTGAAGATTGGTTGTTGAGGACAAAACAGTCACTCAAAGATCAAATTGCCAGCAAAGCCGAGAACTTTCAGTTTATCCGTATGTTCATTTTCACTTTCAACTCCTTTTGTCTTAAAGGACATTGCCCAATGGGCATAATTTTTTATTTTCTCTTTGTATGAGAACTGAACATTAAAAGACTTTCTGATTTCCATTTTTGAGTATTGGTTATTTATCCTTTTTCTAGATTTGTTTGTCAAGTTGTCAACTTGTCTCCCTCACTCTTCTATCATTATACCCACCAACCACCAAACTCTAATCGTAGTTAGGAATGCTCTTAGATAGCTTAAATAAGTAGTATCTAGGACATTTAAGTATTGAATCATCAAGGCATACTATTTTTACTTCCTAAGACTTCTCTCTTCACACAGTATTAGAGTTTTTATTGTAAATTATGTGGCAATAAGATTTTTTTTAATGATCTTACTGGTGGTCTGTGTAATTCTTTTCCTGCCTCTTTTTTTCCCATAGTGTTTTCAGTATATCACCGTTAAGCTCAGACATTACCCTCCACAATGCCCCACCCCTATAGATGCTTGCACAGAAGGGGCACACATTCAAGGCTTTTCAGATCTTCCGTTTTTCTCTTATGCTCTCTTTTAGTAATCTTCCCACCAAAGTCTTTGGGATCCCACATTGATTATGTAGAGTGCGTGAGTGACTTACATGGGGGCATGGGGCTTAGGGCTATCTCAAAATTGGGAACATTTTTAGGCAAGTCTAGGTGTATGTGCCTGTGTGTTTTAAGTGGCTAATTATTATAAAAAATCCATACCCATGGCTCACAACAAAAAGTGTGGCAAGAAATATGTAAGTTTTCTCACCCTAACACTACTTATTATAGCCAAGCACTACCAATATCATTCTAACTAAATTCCTAAGGTAAAGGTTGGTAGAAGTTACATGATAATTGCCATGCTCACATGTTTTTGAAGACATTTATAAGTAAAACAATGGCGAGTGCAAAATCAGCTTTCAAGCGTAGGATTTTGCTTGGTTGAATCTGAGATTAGTGGTCAATGTATATAGGAACTGTATTGTTAATTTTACACTAAATCTGTTGCAGTTGCTGATGTGAAGAAAGTTTTTGAAAAAAATGGTCCGAGACAGATCACTTTAGCTATTGAGAATATGTTGAAGACTGGGAGATTGGCCACACAATCTGGTCTTGATTTGCAGCAGGTATTGCTAATGCATGTGATATGTGAAATGTTTAGTGTAACAGTGGCAAGTTGTTTCATATGGAGTATTACTGCTCATGTATATGTTTGTGTGATTTAATAACCACTGTATCATCCTTCAAGGATTTAAGTTCCTCTAGGTTTTTGTATATAAACTCCAGTCTACTGTTCAACAATGTGACATGCTGAAAGGTTTTAGATCTATTTTAAGATGCTCACTATGTTTTTCTTGGCACTTTATCAGTGACTTTTTTCTTGATTATATCACCATCTAGGTTGTACAGGCTGTGTAATTGTTGATTTGTTAATTCCTCCCCTATTCCTTGCCAGCAGATCAATATGAGTACACATTCTCAAATTTTTCTGAGCTTGAACACTCAAAGTCTAGTAACTTGCAAGAAATGAAGTTTTTCTAGCTTTTTTGTGTAAATTCCATTCTACTGTTCAACAATGCTGACATGCTGAAAGGTTTCGGATCTAATTTTAAGATGGTAAATTTTTTTTCTTGGCACGTTGCATGCAACATTTTTCTTGAATAATATGGTCATCTAGGGTTCCCGAGTGGTGTAATTGTTGTTTTGTTAATTCCTCTCTCTATCCCTCTTTAGTGAGATCAATACGAGTATGCATTCTCGAATTTTCCTTATCTTGAACACTCAAAGTTTAACACTTTGCAATGGTATTTTTCTGGACATGTTTTGTCTTGATTTGCTAACCTATTGAAAATCAAAATCTGGTTGTTAGAGAGCTGGAATGACTGTTCAGGCAGAAAGGATAAATTTTCTGCGATTCATTTCACATTTTAGAGCTGTTCATCGAGGTTCTGCCCTTGCTGGTCTTCGTACTACCAGTGTGCGGAAATTGTTGCCCGAGTATGTAGTTATATTGAAGCCTGAAGGATGATTTTTTTTCTTTTTCCCTGGCATGGTATATTCAATCTTTGTGCCATTTATTGGTATCTTTTTCTAATATATAATTTTCGTTGTGGTTTCTATTATATACAGATCATGGGGTTTTTTATGTCCTGTTCATACACCTGATGGGGAATTATGTGGATTGCTAAACCATTTAGCTGCTGCTTGTCGTAAGATACTTATCTTGATTTTGTCTATGTGGCTATGTTTCAATAGCTTCTTTTCAGCCTTCATTAGCCATTCACTATAGCCATTTCTTGCTGAGTGATACACATTTGATCTGCAATTTTCACAAGCTACTTGGATGGAGACCTAGTCCATAGTTTCTTAGCAAACCATGGGAAGATAGTATTTTGTGACAAGTTGCTATCCTAAGCTAGTACAAGTGTACAACTCCTATTCATTATTTCATTCTTCATTTATCTGTGCCTAGGGCTTTGCACAGTTGATCAGGAATGTGTTCCATATGATTTGTGTGAGTTGAAGATTTTTTTTACATCTACAAAATAGGTTTAGGGATGTGAATCATGTGATGCGACTTGTAGGTTTGCTCCAGGCCTCCAGCTGATTCTATTGCTCTATTGTTAAAATATAATCTTTTAATTTACTTGTTCATGTTATAGTGCAGTACTGCAGTTAGAGTTAACAGGTTTTTCACATGATCTTTCTATGTGATGACAGTGTTTTGGTTATAAACATGTTTGTTTCACAGGTATAACCTCATATTATGATTCCAAAGGAAACATCAAAGACTTTCGCAGAATGAGAATGTCAATCATAGATGTGCTAAACAATATTTGTTTTATGAAGTCAGCAATGCCAAAGCTTCCCAAGGCAGGCCCTCCTGAACTACTTACTGTTCTTCTGGATGGCCGTGTTGTGGGTTATGTACCATTGGACCTTGTTGAAAAAGCTATCACTCATCTGCGAAGACTAAAACTATCAACTGTATCGCCGGTTTGTTACCATCACCTGGCATTGAAATATTTTCCTGTTTAATCTCTTACACTTGATTCTCATATGGACACCTTGCAAATCAGATTCCATTTGACTTGGAGGTGGGCTATATACCTCTGAGCATGGGTGGGGCATATCCTGGTATATACCTGTTCACATCTCCTTCTAGATTTATCCGACCAGTTAGAAACATCTCCGTTCCTCCTCAAGATGACAATGATATTGAACTGATTGGTCCATTTGAACAGGTTAGATTGGAATTCTCATAATATATTTGTGAAAAGANCTCATGAAGAAATCCATCCAAAAAATATGCTGAGTGTCGTTGGTAATTTGACACCTTGGTCCGATCATAACCAGAGTCCCCGCAATATGTATCAGTGTCAGGTGCTATACCTTACTGTCATTGTACTCCCTCTGTCCTATTATTTTGTTCCAGCTTGACTTTCAAGGCCTTCAATACGACTTTGACCATTATCATTTATAGTTCTATATAAATAAATATTTTTCCTATATTATATTTCAAAACTGCTTTTTAAAAAAAAATTCTAATTGCATTGTTTTCACATTATTATCAATGTACATTTTGTCATAGCTGTTATGGCAGCACCTAGGTGATGCCCTGGTGCCCCGTTGGAAATCTGTTCTTGCCTTGGCAAGTTCGCTTAACTCAGAAAGGTGTACTTATCGTTCTTCAAAGCCAACGGCAGTGTCAACTTCCCCAAAGTCTCAACCTTCGAACGTGACTCCACATACCTTGCAAGTTGAAACCCAATCTAGTTTTGTCCTAGAAGTCAACTTCGGCTCCAGACACTACCCTCAACAGCACTGGATAGAGTTCTCGCTGGAAGCCACCTCTTCCTCGCAGATTCACTTTTTTATTAGTGACCTCTTTGTCTCTTTCCGTTCACGGGGATTAATTTTGGAATACTTTTTTTAATCCTTAGCTTAGCTGAAAGCGTTGACTGCATTAGGGCTTAGGAAATAGATATTAGACCTTCCCTCCCCCCGCACACACACGCACCTTTTTTTTTAAAATCCACCAAGTATTGCAGAAAGTGAGAGTTAGAAGCTATTTTCAGTACTCTGCGACTTTCATAAAAAATTAATAAATAACATTTCAAAGTGTTGTTTAAAAAATGCTTTTTTTAATTATTCTATTGAGTACCCCTGGTAGTCAAGACTTGAACCGTGTTTTGGGACGGACAGAGTATATAGGGAATACTACTTTTTTCTAGTCTTATATGACAGTTTTGGGTCAAATTTCAATGATTAGGGTTTCAACCTTTGATTATTCTTGTACTCTGCAGATGGCGAAACAAACTATGGGGTTCCCTTCACTGGCCATAAATTGCCGCGCTGATCAAAAGCTTTATCACCTTCAGGTCTATGAGCATTTTGAGTTTTGTCCTTGTGAAGCAATTATGATCTTAATAATCATAACATTATTTATACTTCATTACTTTTTCCTTACTTCCTATTCATGCCGACCAAATGCATTTGTTATATTAAAAATTTACAATCTGTCTTATAAAAAATGATTTCAGACCCCACAGACCCCCATTGTACGTACTGGAGCGTATGAGAAATATTGCATTGATGATTATCCCTTAGGAACAAATGCAATTGTTGCAGTTCTTGCTTATTCAGGGTAAGATTTAAGCATTTGACGTCTTGCTTATTATAAAACATGCATATCATTAAGTTTTGTCTCCAATATAACAGTTATGACATGGAGGATGCCATGGTCTTAAATAAATCATCTGTTGACCGCGGGATGTGCCATGGGCATGTATACCAGGTATTTCACTTCAAGAATCTTTCTGATCATTTTTACTATATATCAATCTCCCCTATCCCTATGCCTGGAAATAGGTCTGTAGTAAAGTTCTACAGATCTGAATCTCATGCTAATCCTTGCTACTTATCTGATTGTGTTAAGGTTCTGAAGGTCTGACTTTCCATTTTTCAGACAGAAACAGTTGATTTGGCTGAACAAAGTGCAAAGTCAGATCGTGTTCAGAAAATGTTTAAGAGAAGCTATAATAAGAAGAACCCTCAGCACCTGATTGACCGCCTGATTGATTCTGATGGACTTCCATATGTTGGCCAGGTTATCTCTCTCTCTCCTCCCTCCTTTTCTATCTATCTTTAAATTCACATCACCATCAATCATAAAGATTATGATCTAATGATCTGAAATATGTCACTTAATATGAAATGCAGAAGATCAATCCAAATGAGCCATATTGCAGTGTCTACAGTGACATAACAACTAATTCACAAACCATCACATTGAAGGGTACAGAATCTGTTATTGTTGACTATGTTGCTGTTGATACAAAGACCAAAAGTAATATTCAAAAGGTGGGCCAATGATCAGAATGTCTCATTTGATTCTTTATGTTCTAAGGCTATACTTTAACAGTTATAAGTTGCATTTACTTTGCTAATTTTTCATGCTTCAGGCAAACATACGTTTTCGACGTTCTAGGAATCCGATAATTGGAGACAAATTTAGCAGTAGACATGGGCAAAAGGGGGTGTGTTCACAACTATGGCCAGATATTGATATGCCTTTCTCAGCAGTTACAGGAATGAGGCCAGATCTAATAATTAATCCTCATGCATTCCCTTCAAGGATGACTATTGGAATGCTTTTGGAATCAATTGCTGCCAAGGTACAATTTACACAAATTTTTATTATCGTGTATCATCTTCTATCATCGAAAGGAATCCTGGATAGGTTTGCTGTGAAATACCGTACATAATTTTTATAATACTTGTTCCTGAGGAGAGATAACACTCTGAAGAAGACAATTGTCTTTGTTAAAAGATTTGGGAGGACTCTGGTTTATAATTTGGACTGCTTCAATCTCAGTGCGCCATCACTCTCCCAAAAAAACCTTAGTTATGTGCAATCATTTGTACATAAGTTGAACTATTTCAGATGTACCTAGGAGAGATAAGACTAGTTATGTGCATTCATTTCTATAATACTTGTTGCTGAGGAGAGATAACACTCTGAAGAAGATAATTGTCTCTGTTTAAGGGTTTGGGAGCACTCTGGTTTAGCATTTGGACTTTAATCTCAGTGCCATCACTCTCCCAAACAAACCCTAGTTATGTGCAATCATTTGTACATAAGTTGAACAATTTCAGATGTACGGTGGACACTTGAATTTACATGTTCAAACAACTCAAATATATAGGAAAGATCAATGATGGAAACAATCAGAATGAGAGTTTTTCATAATTTAGATTTTTGGAGTGCCAAATAGTTCTTTTTTCTTTGCTTTGGCGGGGGATGAGTTGATGTTTCATATCCAATGAGTGGTGCCTTGGTGCATGTTATTTGCAGGCAATGTTGTTCTAATTGACCAGAGGTGTGAGTGAATTATTGATAGGCTTAAGCTGTAGAGCTGAATCTGGGGGTTCTAAAGGTTTAAGACAGATAGAACTAAGACTTAATACATGCAGTGCATTTAAGCGGTATACCAACTGAGTCGAGAGTGCAGGTAAATAATGATTATCAACCCATTCCCGAAAGGGTAAGATTCAAACGTTCAGGTACCATAGTTCTATCATCCATTTTTAGGGCGGGATTGATTGGATGTTATCCATCCTTATGTTTCGAGTGCGATAAGGCGGTAAGAACAAACCCTCAAAATTGGAAGGCAGTTCTCATCAAACAGTTGTCCAATCAACCATCATGTATGGGGCACCGCAGTGTTGTTAAGTCGTCGCCGACTAGTCGTCCGGTTGTTTTAGAGAGCTCGATTTGACTGTCGACTAGCGCCTAGAACTGCTATGTCGCACGGAGACTGCTCGGAGACCTCAGAAATGCCGAAACGCGTCTGAGACGGCTCCAAGACTGAGAGAAGATGAAGGAGAAGAAGAAGATAGGAAGAAGACTTACATCTCTGATTCATTGTTGCCGCCATCTTCCTATGGATCTATTGCGTTTCAATGTGAAGCAGATCTGTAGTGTTTAGGCGGTTGCTTATTCAAAACCCCTTTCTCCTTCTCTCTTTGTTATTTATGGTATAGTATAATAGGTCATAATATTTGGGCTGGTTCAAACATTAGTAGGCTTTTCTACACAAGGCCTAATTTTCTAATAAGCTTTTTAAAAAATTGACTCCTAAAAATAGGCATATATATCTACTTTTTTACCGAGTACATTTTTTTAATAATAAAGTTCGCTTTTATTGAACCACAAAAAAAGTTTACTTTTATTGAGAGTAACCCTATGTCATATAAAAAATAATATTTTTATATATTATTTTTGTATTGGCTAATTGTTATCTTTGCCTGAAGAGTTGAGGATATTTGTTTCTTATGTAGTCTTCATTATGTGAGTTTATGTACTACCTTAAAACATAATTTTGTTATGGTAATGATATTTAACCGTATAAATAGATACCCCGTATATAGTTATCTTTGGTGAATGAAGAAATATATAATTTTAAACAATTTATTACTAATAGTAATTTGTCGACTAGTCCACTACGACCACTAGTCCCTTCTCCACCGACTTGACTCGACTTGTCGCATTGATAACCATGGCACACAGTCTTGGTTGGTGAAGAATACACATGTGCAGAAGATGTGGGTGGCTTAGATAGAATGCCAAGGTGAATATGCAATGCACCAGGATAGTCAGTGTTCAGACTTCCGATTGACAATATCCAAGATAAATTGTGAGTAGCTTTTGTGGAGTTAAAAAATACTTGCAACTGGATTGAGGTGGTTTTAGCATGTGCAGAGGAATGCTCCTCTGAAGAGGTGTGACAGGCCAGAGGCAGGGAATTTGAGGAGGGTTAGATGTACCAAAGAAAAGTATGAACAAGGTGATCAGACAGGGCTTGCGTTTTTTCCAACTCTACAAGGATATGACCGGAGATAGAAGTGTTTGGAGGTCAAAGATTGACGTTGCATGCTAGGCTTAGACATGTCTTATGAGTGGCGAATTGTATAGGGATCTTAGGGTTAGCTAGAATTTGTGGAATATTTGATTTCTGACCTTTTGTTGGTAGGTCTTTGTATTCTCTCTTATTTGTCTAGTAGTTGTTTGATTGTGCTTGCATTTGTCTTTTCAGTTGGAATCGGGTGTCTTTAGGAAATGACCCCTCGACCTTTGGTAGGGGTTATGTATTTTGGGAACAACTCCTCTAGCTGAGGTAGGGGTAAGGTCTTTTCAGTTTGAGCCATTAGGTTCACTTTTACTAGTCTTTTTCAGCTTACATCATTATATTTTAAAGATCTTTTTCATTTTAATTCTACACCATTTTTTATTTACATTGATTTGAAATTTTTTATATTCAAACATTATAAAACAAACACAATCTTATTTTGGGGTAGATGGAGAATTAGATTAAACTAAGAGATCAAATGGTCCATTAATGTCACTCAAAAATCAAGGTTGTTTTATAGTATCAAATAGGGGTCGACCCGCTCCAGGATGTCGTGGGTCTTTGTATTCTCTCTTATTTGTCTAGTAGTTGTTTGATTGTGCTTGCATTTGTCTTTTCAGTTGGAATCGGGTGTCTTTAGGAAACGACCCCTCGACCTTTGGTAGGGGTTATGTATTTTGGGAACAACTCCTCTAGCTGAGGTAGGGGTAAGGTCTTTTCAGTTTGAGCCATTAGGTTCACTTTTACTAGTCTTTTTCAGCTTACATCATTATATTTTAAAGATCTTTTTCATTTTAGTGCACAAATGTCACATTTGTGCTTTTTTTTAAAGTTTTTGTTAACAATATCATCCTTTCTGGTGTAGATGTGTGTGTAGTCTGGAGGCAAATTTCCACATTGTTGCTATGATTAGCAGAATGTATATTGTGTAATAGTGTATAAAATCTTATTCTAGGGAGGAGCTTTACATGGGAAGTTTGTCGATGCAACGCCATTTTCTACTATAGTTGAAAACGACACGGGATCAAATTCTGATTCAGATTCACTAGTTGATGATCTTGGGTCTATGCTGAGAGCCCGTGGGTTCAATTACCATGGTGTAGAGGTACTCTATAGCGGATTTTATGGGACAGAACTAACATGTGAAATATTTATTGGGCCAGTTTATTATCAAAGGCTTCGGCACATGGTTTCAGATAAGTTTCAGGTATGTTAATTTTATATTTTAAAAGCTACATATAAATAGTAGGGTTAAATTTGCTTTAGTCCCTATAAAACAGGTAACTTTTGTTCAATTTGAAATAATAATAATACTAATAATAGTACTGATAATAATAATGATAATCATTTATTAACGGGGTCAAAAGTCTCAAAACACTTCTTAAAATTAATAACAGTATAATTTTTTTAAAAAAATTAATAAATCACCTTTTGACATAGAGTAGAATACAAAGGCTATATTAAAAATTGTAAAAAATAATCAATTATTTTCTTATATATAAAGTTGTATCTTGAATCATTAGAAAATTCTATACATGACTTTAATTCGAAAGTATTTTCTCTCAAAATCAACATTTACATCTAGTTAGTGATAAATGAAAATAAAAAAAAGTACCTTTTATGGAAACCAACAAGTAAGAAACTTAAATGGAAACTGCCTAAGGGGGTACGACACTTCGTCTTCTAGATGAGAGGCAATGAGAGGTGATGAGGTGATCTGATTATTTACTCTCGCCTAAGGAAAGCCTTAGGCACTGAATATGGAAGGCGAGAGAGGTGATCGCTTAAGGAAAGCGGTTGAGGCGAGAATGGCGACCGCCTTAGGGTGTCGCCTCGCGTGACTCCCCTGAGGTGCTGCGTGCTCGCCTGGGGCTTTTCTAAACTATGAATAGAGGGTGCTTGATAAGGAGTCCATGGGGTTAAAAAAATAGAAAATGAAAAGAGCTTTTTGATGTATTTGTCACAGTTTTGCAAAGCTAGGTACCTAAGTTTTGTGCTGCTTGAGCTGGGGATCTGTTGGAAACAGCCTCTCTATTTTTAGTAGAGGTAAGGTCTACGTACACTTAGCAAACCAAGGCTAGCACACACACCCTCCCCATACCCTGCTTTTGTGGGATTCTACTGGGTTGTTTTTGTTGTTGTTGCAAAGCTAGGTACCATTATGATTGTTTTTCAAGCTTTTCAGAGATAGTTTTTCAATTGTAGTCTTTGTAAATAAGAAGATTAATTAGGAATGGATGGAGTAATAAGGGCAGGGGAAATAATAAGAAATAAATAGAGAAATGACAAGATGAAAATCTTTGAAAAAAACACCAATAAAAGTGACTATATTTCTCTTACTTATCGTAGAAGAAAGACTACTACTGTGTCACGCTTGGTATCGATGCCTCAAGGCATTTTGCAATGAGGCGTACACCTCAGGCCAAAAAGGCACACACCTTCAAATTCCTAGGTTTGGGCATAGCCTTCAGGGCATACTCCCTCTGTCCGGCTGGATTCGTCCAGTTTTCCTTTTTTGGGCTGTCCCATGGAATATAAAAATGCATGAAAAGTCCATTGTGCCCTCATTGGCATTCACATCCCTCCCCTCTTCTAAATTTTCTTTCTTTCTAGTCTTCCTCCTCCCAGTGTCTTCTTATTTTTCCGATTATTCTGTTATTTCATCCCAATCCAATTTCTTCTCTGATTCCATTTCTTAAAACCGTTTCTTCTTTTTCTGATGCTCTTTCCTCCTCCCTGTCTTCTCCAATTTCATCTCCTCTGTTTTCTTCTCCGTTCCTTTTCTCCTCCTTTCATGCCTTCTCTCTCTCTCTCTCTCTCTCTCTCTCTCTCTCTCTCTCTCTCTCTCTCCTATTCTTTTCTTCTAATTAATTCTTCCCTCCTAGTCTTCTTTTCTTGTTTTTCACATCGTTTGAATCTTTTCTTCCATAGATCTAAAAACATATTTTTTCTTCTTCCATAGACCTGAGCAGCTCAAGAGCACAAATCTCATAACGATCTATTCTTTTTCTTTAAGATTTGATGTGTGGAAGGAAGGTTGGGGGTGGGGCCGAGTGGCCGGTGGATATGGAGGGGTGATGAAGGATTAAGAGGCTGGGGCAGTTGATTAAGTTGGGTAAGCTGGGGGTAATTGTGTCATTCATTGTACTCATCACCTTGGCATGTGTGTCATATTGAAAGTGGACAAAATATGGTGGGACGGAGGGAGTATTTTGCCTTCATTGTGCAAAGGCATTACACATATTCAGACATTGATTGGTAGTCCTTGTAGAGGTTCGATGTTATTGTTTGTGTGTGTGTGTGCCCTATATATTTGAGATTCCATATGGCTGCCTAACTTGAACCTTTCTTTCACTAAAGGTGCGCTCTACCGGAAGGGTGGACCAAGTGACTCGGCAGCCCATCAAAGGAAGAAAATACGGGGGAGGCATTCGATTTGGGGAGATGGAACGGGACTCCCTCTTGGCCCACGGGGCAGCGTATCTGTTGCACGACAGACTCCACACCAGTTCTGATCACCACATTGCAGATGTGTGCTCACTCTGTGGGAGCATCCTCACCTCGACACTCATCCAGCCGCCCCAAAAAATACAAGAGATCGCCGGGCTCCCTCCTGCCAGAGAACCCAAGAAGATTGTGTGCGTTGCGTGCAAGACGAGTAAGGGAATGGAGACGGTCTCTATGCCTTACGTCTTCAAGTATTTGGCTGCCGAATTAGCAGCCATGAACATTAAGATGGACCTCAAGCTGAGCAATGTTGCAGGTGCTTGAAATTCCCAGCCCTTCTATGTTTTTTTTATTTAAAAAAAAAATCCAAATTCCAACTCAAACTGTTGTGCCATTTGTAGTTCTTTTGTTATAAGCAATGTCATTTTCAATCTTGAGATGTTTTTCTTGGGATATACCCAATATTTATCTATGAGCTGGTTAATAGTCCTCCCTCTCTCTGCAGCTAGCAATTTTTATTCAAATTATTCGTGGAATATAGATACTTGTATTGAATTTTGAGCATCAAGAGTATAATCACTAACATGTAGTGGTGTTATTTATACGTTCTCATCTTCTCGCTAATTGTATTACTCCCTCCGTCCCAAATTATAATGCATGTTCACTATTCACAGAGTCAAACTTCATTCACTTTCCTTCTCAAATTTCGTTAGAAATTTGATAAAATATGGCAAATTTTCTTCACAAATCATTTCAGTCATTTTTTGCTTATTTTGCTCATCGCTATAAGCAAAAAGGCCACTCTTACCCCTGTTAGCAAACCGAGAAATTTGGGTTTGCACTTCTTGTCGTCCCTTTTTTTTCTCCGTGTATTTGGCATACTCCACGAGATGCCTCGACCTTAGGTGTTTTTCCGTACCACCATAACTGCCAGAAACTCCCATTTTAATGACGGTGGCACAATATTTACAAGTTCCATAAACTATGCCATCTTTTGTATATTTTTCAAAATGATAAACAAATAAATCTGATTTTAATTTTTTTTACCTTTGTCCGGACCTTAAGAGGTCTCAGGCTTACCTGCCTCCTAGTCGACGTCGTTGTTGTGCGGTGTAGGCTCCTCGTCCCCGTCCATTCTTGCTTCATCAATCTCCTCGAAGAAACTTTCAAGAGTTTTGAGATTCGCGTCGCCTCTACCTGAAATGTACTGGTCGAATTCTTAATTCGTCAAAGCGTCGCCCATGAATTGATCAGGGATAGTAGGAAAGGAAGAGACGGAGTGTCTTCCTTGAGAACCGCATGAGGTCGAACCGCGCGTCGAAGGTGGCTTTAGCTTTGCCTTTCCTCGAACTTCGGTTCACGGAGCCCATATCCACGGACCTTCTACCGGACTCTCTCGACATTTTAATATATATATATTTTGATATTTAAAAAAATAATATTTTAAATTTCGAAAATTTAAAAAAATTTCAAAATTTTATATATTAAAATTTCGAAAATTTCGAAAATTATAAGTTTTTTAAAAATATAATATATTTAAAAAATTAATTATATATTTAAATTATTTAAAGTATATATTTAAAAAATTAATTATATATTAAATTTTGAAAATATCGAAATTATAATATTAGTAATAAACTAAAAATATATGATAATTGATAATATGAATAATGAATGTATTTATAGATTATTATGTAATATATTAATATATATTTATATTATTATATGAATATAAATTGTATAAAAATTAAAAAGAGATAATAAGATTGAGAGATTAAGATTTGAGAGATTGATAGATTGAGAGATGGATTGAGTGTGATTTTTTTGGAAAAAAATGGTAGAATTTATAGTATCCCCCCCTCCCCCACCTCAAACGGCTATTTAGCCGTTGAGCCCCCCCCC